TTCCTCGGCCCTGTTGGTCCTTGCTGCTGGAGCAGCTCCCACTTGGTGGAGAGCACCTTGTTCTGCTGCTCCAGGAATCGGACCTACAGCCAAGAAAGGGTGTGAGAGACATTCACCAGAGAGACATCCCACTCCTGGGAGATTTGGGAGCCCAGGGAATCATTTCCCATCTATGTGTCATTCAGGTATTCAAGCTTCTGAATGGCATGAGAAGTATTATTTAATTTATTTATTATTAGACAATTAAGTTATGAGTCATTCTGAACTTCTCCCTTGGGGACAAAGCGGTGTTCCCAGTAGAAAACATCATCCCAATTTTCATTAGCATCAGGGTTGGACTTTGCCATCCTCTTTCCCGCACTGAAGTCAAGAAAGAAGAAATTTTTATTCCCTAACTGCCCATGCATTGTCTTTGGAGGGATTCTCTATTTCTTTGGCTTTTATTTGAAATTAAATAATCCAAGAGTATTGGAAAGGGGTTTAATGCTTCTTCTCAATGCTTTGAGAAGAAAATTTCACTAAAAAGCAAATCCCAGCAATGAAAACTCTTAGGATAATAAAATTTACAATGATGACTTTGCCCTGAATCACTCAAAATGAGGCTGCAGAAGTGCCTTGGCAAGACAATCCCCAGAATACCCTGCAGATGTTCTCTTTAATCTTCCACTAGCACAAAACCTCCTCTATTGTTCAGTGTTACTTGTTAAGTAAACCTAATTAATTACAATTCGATGCTGAGGCATTGGTCTGACAACTCCAACATTTGTTGGTAGGTGAAAGAATTCCCAGTCCATTTCCCAAGGAAGTTATTTGACATTCCACCCCCGAAAAAACCCATCCTAAACTCTCACCTTGTCGATGAAGGAGGCAAACTGGTTGTTCAGGGTCTTGATCTGCTCCTTCTCCTGATTTTTGACTTGCTGGATCTGGGGATCAATCTCAACGTGGACCGGACGCAGGAGGCTGGGGTCAACTTGCACCGGTTGGATGCCTCCAGGGAAGCCTGGACCACCAAAGCCACCCATTCCACCCATTCCCCCACTGCTCATTCCACCACCAAAGCCACCCATTCCTGCCCCACCACCTATTCCACCACCTATTCCACCACCAAAGCCACCCATTCCCATTCCTCCAACACCCATTCCACCACCACCCATCCCTCCACAGCTCATTCCTCCACCAAAGCCACCCATCCTGCCACCGTATCCACCACCACCATAACATCCGCCCATGGCAATCCTTCTGCTGCCCCCCATGCTGTGGAGGCTCCGGCTACTGAACCCCCCACAGTGTCCTCCTCCACCTCCTCCCCGGGATGAGGAGTACGAGCTGTAGCTGATCTTGCTCCGGCTGCCGCCTCCAAATCCACCACCAACAGCAGAGCAGGAGCTGAATCCCTTTCTCCCACCGACTCCAAAGCTCCTGCAGACAGACTGACGAGACATGGCTGGTTTTTTCCAAGTGGAATCAAAATCCAGAAGAGCAGAAAGACCAACGGAGTTGATGAGGGCAGAAAGAAGTCTGCAGAGTCTTCTCTGGCTCCAACAGCTTCGGGCATTCCCTTTTATCCGCTGCTGGAGGTGGGCTGGGACAGCTTGGGCGTGAAGGTGGAAAGCAATTTAATATTTTCATCAGCACAGGGTTGTTGACAGATTCTCCATGAGCTTTGCCATATTTGGGGCTGCCCAGAAACACGCCCTGTAATCTAGAGGTGAATAAAACAAGAGCATCGAGACACGTCTCCATGACTAAGTGGACTCTCGTATCTTTATGACATCTTGGAAGTCAATTTTATTCATAATCCCCTTTTATGAAGCCCTTCATTGGCTATCCAGCTCTCATTAGTGGCTCCCAATAATTCCAGATAGAGATCTCCCTATCAAAGCTCCACAGAAAGGCTAAGTTTTGATGAAATTCCATCTATAATATGGCTTTCACAATTCCTTACACACACCCTTAATCCCCTTTTTATATGTTAAATTGCATTTGCGTTTCAGGAGATGTTTCCCAATCCTGAATGGGAATTCACTACACCAAAATTTGAGGAGACTCAGCATATTCTCCTGCTAGAGAGGAAAAAAAATCTCCTCAGAGCATGTGGTGTCACTACAAAGGGAGTGTCTTCTGCCTGCAGACTCAATTCCCTCCACTTGCAACTCCGCAAATCTGGGACAACTAGCTGGAGTTTTGGATGATGCTGAAGCAGAGGGAAGAATGTGACTGGAATTATCCCACTCTCCTCAATGTTCTGAGGGTGACAGGGAGTGACAGCTTGAGGAAGAATGAAGGCACATATTGGGAACCCTTTGGCGACAATGTCAGAGACAGACAGACAAACACTATGGAAGAGGAGCGACAGACTAACAATTTGAAGTGGTGAGGGGTTCTTTCTACTCTGGTGAATCCCACAACCTCTGAATTACCTGTTTTTTCCCAAAAATGAGATGACTGACATGGAAAAACCTGCTGAGAAATGGAGCTGTTACAACCCCCAAGGCACAGTATAACCTTTTGCTTCCAAATAATTTATTGTGAAAGGAATGTGGTTTAGGAATGTGGTTTAGAAATGTATTTTATAGAATATCTCTGAAATAAACTTTTTTTTTTTTGTATTACATGCAAATGAAATTGAATTAATTACAGAAAATACAAATAATATCAGTGCGTTCCAAAAAAAAAAGTCGATTCTAGTTCAAAAGGAAGCCAAGTCTGTAAATACTATTTAAGAGGCATTCTAAAGGTTTTATCTACCTGAATAATATTAATTAAATACCTGAATAATTTAATTAATTAATTATAAAATGAGTGTTCACATTTTCCTAGAAAAGAGCACAAGTAATGAAAAATAACAGAAAATGCACATTCTAGTCCTTGAAATACTTAAAACATGAATATAAGGCCATTCAAAAGACCTGTATATGAACACAGACCTTCTGAAGGAATTTTCAGAGACTCCAATGAGATATGGGCAACTAAATGTGGTTTAAAGTATCAAGTGTCATCAAAAACGAAAATGTCCCTGACTGTCACTGGGACGGGAGCCCCCCAGTGTGCATGGAACAGGGAGGGGAGAACATTGCCCTTGAGGGAGTCAATGGTTAGCCAAGGGTTATCCTACTCCAGAGGAACTCAGTAAGAGTTGACCAGGGGTTTTTCCACACTTGGGAGCTCAGTAACACTTGAAAAAGAGTTATCCCACTCCAAATTCCTGGTTGGTCAAGAGTTATCCCCCTCTTAAGGGACTCAGGTAAGAGCTGGCCAAGGATTGTCCCACCCTTGAGGGACACAAGTCATGGTTGGCCA